AATTCCCTAATTATATATTCAGTCAGTTGAGCACTGATTTCATCTATTAATATATATATATATATTCAGTTGAGATTTTCAGTTTTTCTTAGCCACTATAACCACCCCATCAACATTTTTCAGTCATTTCGATCATCTTACGAAATCAATGTGTGAAAATAAATCAGAAAATTTTTCATATAATTTTCTGAAACAAATTGTTGAAGAATAAATGCTGTCTGTAGAGGTATTCTTCAACTGTTTAGTTACTTTATCTCTTACAACAAAACTTCACATGTATATTTCCAAATCCACATAAATTTTTTTTTATCGTAATTACCTCGATAGACACCCCTCTTACTACATATTATGCTTTAATGATTGAATTCATGAGTCGATCATAGAAAACCTGGAAGCATTGGACGGCTGTTTCGTCACAGTATGAGACTCCTCAGCCGTGTGCATTTGCGAACTTGAAACCAGGACCTTCGGTTTCGCGCACGAACATCTAACTTCTAGACCATTGAGCCGGTACCCAACAGTGTTAATGTCTAACTTCAATCGATCTTGCGCAACCATTTATCGATTGTCAGAGGTGAATGTCTGTCTCTACCCGACATGGATTGGCCTCCACTGGTCACGGCTTCTCACCATTATACTGATTGTGACATGACGCTTCAAATCATTTTGACCTTTATTAAATGACCTTTTATAATTTACAGATAACACAATTTTGAAGTACATATTTCGTAACAGATGCAAACGTTCACCATTTTTAACATATAACATTGTCAAATTCGTTAATACATGCCTTACTTTGGTCTTTGTAAAATATCATAATTACGATTTTATAACTGTAGAGACTGATGATGATGTTACTGAAGACAATTGTTCGCTCAAATATTCTTCATTATATAATATAATGACATGTAAATGAAAGTAATCTTTTTCTTTCTTGGTGACGTTCCATGTTTAATCACATTTATATTCGGTAACTATTCTTTCTTTGTATAAATTGTGAATGGACATTATTAATTGACTGATTGATACCTACGCTATCTTTGGTGTTCAAATAAATACTACCTGTGTCGTTTCCTCTTTTGTCTTATTGACCAAAACCTGTGATTGAGGACTATCAGTTTTGAACTATCATGTTAGGCCACTGTACACTACGTGAGATTATTGGCTTGAGCTACTTCGAAAACATTATTGGATTAATACTTCGATTTATACCGTTGGTGCCAAACTTTCAGGAACATATTAGTAATTGAGTGGACTCCATTTGTGGTCGATACCCTAAAGGAACTTCCAAGTAACATTCATTATATAACTTTTGCTATTACTTTGTCAGTCAATATATCTTTATATATAAGTAATACCATGTATACAATCAACTAGAACATGTGGGGATTAGAATTTATTAAATTTTTATGCCATAATAAGTAAAGTATTAGACATAAAAACGTATTTCCAATCGCACACAGCATCAAAGTGCATGAACACTAAAACTAAATGCAATAACATGTTTTGAGCATGTCAGAAGTGTTTATACTTTTCCTCTAAGTAAAGAAAAATATTTTACAACCCTCATTCTTCATACTGCAAGAAATATAAAGTAAAATCTATTTCTTCTTGATTGTTTTTTTGCAACATCCACTAGGATGATTTGCGAGATACCACACAAAATTATGATATTTTGTTTGCTGTTTTTTCCAGATCTACGAAAAGAATGATTTATTATTCAACTAGGTGTTTTGTTAAGATTCGTTATCATTGGAAAGAGGTTTTTACCACAGATCAAAACCAATCAGATCACAAAATATCACATTAGACAACTGATTTATCCTAGTTTGTAAATTTATGTCCCCATTCATGATTACACACAGAATAGATAGCAACAAATAATCGGGATCCGACTAGACATAGTTTTCAATTTTACTTTAATTACATCATCAGTCAAATTAGGTTATTGAAAATGTTTCTCAAATATCCCGATAAATATGTGAACCTGATAGGAAACTTCAAATTTCAAATTCACATTGGTTAATCTAAATTAAAAGAGCAAACTGAAAATTTTCAAAAGCTTTAACTACTGTAGTTTTACATTAAATTACAAAATCCTGTAATGAATTCTGCAAACACTTTGATTTCAGACGTTGGGAATCAAATGCTAACGATAGTTAACAATGCAGCTTACTAAGTCTTGTCTTTAAATATTAGAAAAACAACTACAATAAAATTTTATCTATACTCAAAATGACTTCACATATATACATTAATAGATTTGATGAATCAAAATTTTAAAAAAAAACTTATTATCAGTGTAAAATAATAGTTACCGATTTACTGTCAGTTTTTAGTATTTATATTAATCAAAACAATTTTATTGGCTTTAGCCCCATTTTATTTTTCCAAAATTTTGCTTATTGTCTTCTTTGAAGATAATTAATAATAGATGGCTTAAACAAGTTCATAATTGTTGCAATTCTCTCTTTTATTACAACCCAGCTATTCCTTTTGCTTAGTATTCTTGGACACTAAATCACTCGACAAGTCCCCAAATCAGGACACGGTTGAACAGTAAGAGAGATTATATTCCAAACAAGAAGGTTAGATGGAAGTAGAAGCACAATAGGGAAAACGTTAGTATATTTATAGTTTTTTCACATGAGATTTCTAGTGTTCACTAAGTATTGACTAACGCTGATTGAATAGGAATTAGCCAATCAGCGTGCGCCAACGCAAGCGTGCATTGAGCATGATTTAATCCAATCTATGTCCCGCTAACAATAATCAAACTCATTGTAACATATTTTTTCTTTCCTTACTGCTTCTAAGTTCATTTGATAACAGTTCATATCATGAAAACCTAACTTATAGGATAGTATACAAATTTTCACCATATAAACGAAATTTTACATAAAACAAAGTCAAAAGTGGAGAATTTACAATACTTAAGATAACTTCATATATACTGACATGGTTATAGGGGAGTTTCATCATTGAATCAGACTGTGCATGCCACAAACTAGTGTCTATAGATAATTTATGCCAAGATTTTGAAAATAAAGTTCACAAAATTTGTCACAGTGACGTACAATCTAATAAACACACCAGTTTAAACGGACAGATTGTAGAGATTCTTCTTAATGATAAGTGGTTAGAACTAGTCGTCAGGATGCCGTGCACAGGATTTTTGTACCAATTGACACACGTCAATAATTAATTCTTGAAATTTAGAAATGACGCTGTTGATATGGATTCGGACCTAAGCATGTGCAGAAATTTGTGATTTTTCTAAATATTTCTTTACTTGATACTAATCTTTGGCAAAAGCCATCTACAAAAGCGTTAACATAGGAAATCAGTGCCCTTAATCCAATTCTACTCGGATGTTCTACGAACATGAAAATGGAAAAAACTCGCTCGCTGTTGAAAGACGTTCTTTATTTGATATTTCTTGACCAGTTTTGTTTTCGCTTAATCGCCTTATTGAAATATGTTACTGTAACAATAAAGAAAGGTCACAACCCCACTGAGCAATTGATTCTTATTTTGCAAAAGGTTACTTGTGGTATAAAACATGTAAGAACATGTTGATGTAGAAAATAATGTGTATCGTTTTAACGGGATAAAATAAAAAACCTATAGAGAAGTTAACCGGACTAAATGAGACTTAGTAATAATAATGGCATTACTATATGGGTCTATTACAATACAGTAAAAAATCTTTCGGTACAAAATATTTTAGCAAACTCCTCTTAATCTACAATGCGGATATATATGTTGAAAAATTCTAAAGTAATAAAGTTTCCTTCATCTTTATCTATTATTCTCTGCCCTATATCTCAACTATATTGCTTATGTCAGTGGACACATCAACGTTTAGTAGCGTTCACAATCATTCATGAGTAGTTGGGTACATATGGTTTTTCAAAGAATGAACTATTCTAGGTTAGTCCTTTGACATTACGACAATGATGTACAATAATGGTATCCGACAAAGGAGTCATTCCAACTCAGAGCCCGTTTCAAGATATTCTTGTCGCTTCATTAATAAGGTTCTGCTTACAAAAGTCTTTTCGCGCACCAAATACTGATGGATTATAAAAAAGAGCTTTTTATTTGTTATTGATCAAAAACCATCTAATAAATTCGTGCCTACTATTTTCCTTGTCTGACGATGGTCATATTAATATACAGAATTAGTTCATCAAGCTACTGATAGTTAGCCTCAGACTCCAGGCTTTCTTGGTGGGATCCACAAGATAACTGTATTTGGTAGTTGAATACCAGATAAAATAGAATAAAATTGATTAAAGGAATGGTGACAAATTTACTTGGCGTTATTACTTCTATATACCAGGTAAAAAGCAAATACGTAATGTTATCACTACTGACGCAACCTTATAGTTTTATGTGAATACTTGAGTTTCTCGTGAGTCTTTAATACGAGAGAATATGTCGAAGCAATAAAATTACCCCTAATTTAATAAAACCATGAACCGATTTCTTCATTGTGCTGTCATTTTTAGTATTAAGAAGTAAAAACAGTATGCAACAATACTAAAGTATTATGTGTAACCCAAATAACATGCAACATAACTAAGCTACTATACATGATTGACTTCCATCATCAGAAAACTTTGAATAAAGACAGCGGGTTGATAAGTAATTTCCAGTGGCTAGACCTACATTTATGATCTTCAAAGAAATCTTAATAACTGGTAAACTAAGTTTTTATGAGAACCAACGATTTTCGATCGGTTCAGTGAAAAAAAGCAGTATACAATACAGGTACAGGCAAAAATAGCTGACTGAAATTATATAACACATCACCTAACGATCTTTTTCTTAACTTCTACGAGTCAATCATCTTTTCTTACATAAATAAGTGCGGCACTGTGATAGTTGGGATGATTTTAGTAAAAATATTTAAGATCTTTTTATAGAGATCACCACGTTTCACGAAATCTAGCTTTCAATTACCTCATATGTTGTAGAGAAATTCATAAGAAAAATCAAGATTATTATTTATTTTATAGTCTCCTCCACAAAGATTACAAGTAGATCTTTCAGAGGGAGAACTTGTGAATCAAACACAGCTTAAAGTGTACAACATCGAGGTAGCTATTCTATTGTCAGGGATGAATAACTTGATGTAAAGCTAAAACGATACACGAGATTTTGTGAAAGTGAGAGATGGAAGAAACTTGATTAAAAATGATGAAAGAATAGTATTTGAATTAAATAAAATGAAGTTATTGTTGTGAGTAAAATCACTTAAAATTCGTTTACTCAGATTTCATACTCACGAAAGAGCTTCACAATATTAAGAAGCTTATCAGAATTATTTTCGTTTATAAAACGCCCGTCTAAAAAGAAAAGTTGACAAGTGTATCACAATGACAAACCGGAATCTGAAGTACTATCCAACATCCGAGGGGTTTTATTAGCATTGGAATACCAGTGCATACACTAAACATTACGAAAATGGATATATATACCTCTTCAAAATTTTTCTGTAAACCAAGATATTGTTCAAAAGAAACAGATATATTGCTGAACAACCAGGTATCATACATGCTACGGAGGTTTGAGTTAGTCAAAACTTCTTTAGCTTTCTGAATTTTCTGAAAAAGTGAAGCTATAGTGGAATTTAAAACTGGCTGAAGAGCTACCTGAGTTTGGTTCCGAATTTTTATCTGGATGGAGCTCTCTAGCTTTTATGCGATATTCATAAAGGATCTGATCTTCCTACTGAACGTTAAGTAAGCAACTGCAGCAAACCGTTGAATCTTTGCTAACACCCAGCAACTCATAAAAATTGTCCTTTGCGAGGTTCGGCTTACTAAGTAGAGTATTCATTTCAAAGCACTGAAGAATAAAAAATTTCTCTAAGGCAAAGCAAACTTAAATTTTCGTCGGGATCTATATATGACCAACAAAAACTTAACAAAACAAAATGATGCAACTTCAAACCTCTTATGAACTTGTATCTGAGGTACGAACTACAAGTATCATTGGGACTCACTTCGCGAACCTAGGTAGTTTACTTTGTTATTCAAAGGTCGCGGCATTGTTCCTAATCTCCTAACTTTAGGAAAGTTTTTGAGTCCTGCTCAAAATTAAAGGTTTTTTTTCAAAAATGAGAGAGTAGGACAATTATGGATTGAAATTTTCAAAGCTTTATATATCTTCACATTGATCCAGGTATTTATTTTAAAAGAACATCAGTAGTCTGCATACTCAATGTGGCGATGAAAAATCCTTTGATTCTGAGTAATTAGAGATGTACTTCATGGTTTCAAATAAGTATATATTCACACTCGTAAAGCAGAACTTTACAATAGTATAACATTCCAAGTCTTCACAACAAAAGGCGCAGATAAACATGTGTGATAAGAAATAATGATATAACTCGTATTACTGCGTGGAAAATACATATAGTTAGCATTAGGTAAATATGTACTTCTAAATCTCCGGATTTTGGGATTGACATATTGGCGCTTAAGTATATCAGTAACAAAGATACAAAGCAGAAGAAATAATGTGAAAAAGTTTCAAATATAAATTATGGAGCTACGTGACATGGCAGTTCTTCTATCAACACACTGAGATAATTTCATAGGGAATTCAAACGTACCCTCAGGATCACCGCAAGAATTCAAATTAGTTCCCACTACAAATAATGATACCCAAAGGTCAAGTAGCTGTCATCCTATTGGTGTATTGGAAAAATGCACAAACCAATTTAAGCAGACGAACTCGATTCATACAGGTCTAATTGGATTTGTTTCGCTTACTATTCAGTAGACATTATGTAGCATTTTTATGAATTAATTGAAACTTAGTGGTAGAGGAAGGCTCAACGACACACATTTACTCTCATTATTTGTACCAGTATAACGTTCTAGTGAGGAATCCCGTCATTTCACGTCTCCAAGAAATAAACATAACTTCGGACATAAAGGAGTCAGTCGTGGATTTCTGAAACTTTTTAGTGTTCTTCCGGATTACAATTCACCATACAATAAGTGGTGTTAGATTATTTTAAAAAACTGCCATAACATAAGATATATAAGTTGATAAACCTTAGCCTCTCAACAGAATTAGTCAGTTGCGTTTACCACTCGGATCTCTGACTGATAAACTCGTACTAGCACAGCTGCATTGTGACTCAAATTATTTGTTTCAAATGCATTTTGAAATTATTGTACTTGCTTCTCTGAAGCGTCCCCAAGGTCCGATATTGTTAGTAACCACTTCACTTGCGGTTCGCTTATGAGGAGTGACAGGATACTACAGAATTTGACAGTAAATATGTTGGGGATATGCAATTTCTATAACACTACAGCCCGAATCCAATACTTTTACATGGATCTCTAGAACCACTCAAACCAATGGATCGGAAAACATATTTGGGTAATGGTGTATGTGTAGGGGTGAATTCAATTTAGGCTAAATAGTTATTATAAGAGATGAACAGGATGAAGAACCCAAGTGACCTAACGTCTCCAGCTAGAGTATGTCTGTTAAGTCTAATGCGTTCGTCAATGTTGAGGAGTTACAAGATTGTCTATTATGGGGGTTAATTAACTAACAAAGCAAATGATCTCAAAACAGCCAAGACCAAATGTCGATGATGACTGAGTGGGAGAAAATATATGAAGAATAGGTGAAGGTATCGTTGCGTATAATTTTTAAGCCGACTAGTTATCGGATGAAAAGATTTTCACGGTGAACTGAAATGTGGTATGGTGCGAATGTTTCGGTGGGTGCTCTGAGCTAGTGATGTGTCCAGCATAAAAGTATGGTCACCGTTGTAGTAGTAAGTAAATTCACAAAATTGTCTGTTCAATTCGAAGAACGTGGCCAAATCGTTCGCTTTGGATCATGCTACTCTCAACCTGTGAATGTAACCAGTGGGGTTATACAAAGAGGTATGATTGGTCCATTACTCTTTCTCCTTTTTATCAATGACATGTGTTTCCTCTTTCAGTATGGTAAACCTTTCCTTTTTGCCAACGACCTGAAAGTAGTTAATTCATTCTAATCTCCCACCAAAGAAAGCTATATTTCAGCGGTAACCCAAGAAGAAATAAATAAGTTATACGAATGGACTGTTTCGTGGAATTTGCCACTTAATGCTGACAAAAGTGGATTTATTCACAGTGCCCGCTGCCTAGACCTTAATCTGACTATACACGAACATACACTGAAACCTCTCAACACTGTTCGTGACTTGGGTTTAAGATATAGTAACAGTTTGATTTTTTCTGAGCACATTATATCTCAAGTATCCAAAGCTAGAAAGCTGATCGGATTGATAATGATAAACTTTATTAATATCGAATCGAGATTGTTATTATACAGAAAATGTATCTTACCCATTCTTGAATATGGTATTTTAGTCTGCAGTAATTGCAGGCATAATGACCTGATTAAAAGTGAAGGTGTTCAAAGAAAGTTCATCAAAGCTGTCCTGGTGTATTCCGACAACAAAGACTATCACCAAAGATGTCAGTAACTCAAATTAGAACCTTTCTGGATCAGACGTAGCAAATTAAACCTTGTCTTTATCTACCGGCTTATTAACGGTATTTCCTACTCTTCGGTATCCACCCCTTCATATTCTGTGATATCATCCCACAATCTACGCAGCAAGGAAAATATTCTAGCGATTTCAAGAACCTACACAAACTTACGCCATAATTTTTTCGTTATTCGCTACTCAACCATGTGGAACAGACTGCCAGTGGACCTCCGTTGCAGTGAAACTACAACTTGGTTCAGAAGTCTCCTTGATGATTTTCTATCCGAAAGTGGATTGTGTCACCTACTGAATATTAATGTATTTAGTAATGATTTATACAAACAAGGTCCGCCATCCATCTAATTGACTGAAAAGCAGAATGTAACCTTTGAAACTTTTCACGTTTATTTTATTTTATTTCTATTCATCCTAATATATGAAGTCTGCTTATGTTCGTATCCATAATTAATGCTGCTATTAATATCATTATTGGTCCCCCGACAGATTAGATATTCTTTTTATCTCTTCTTATCCCTCTAAACATATTCACTTTCTGGTTGTCCTTTGAAACTAATTGTGACTTTCATAGCATCATTCTTAATTGTGATTGCTTAAATGTTCATGCTAATATCCGGTTTCGCTCTGTATACTATTACATAAATCTACATGTATTTATCCGAGTGCACTAAAGGATTTATTTTATTTTTCTAAATTGTTGGTTTAATTCAGAGGTCGATATTCATTACTCAATTATTATTATCATGATTGAACCCTGTCACTAGGTGTCCACTTCTTTTCTCTCTCTTTTCCCCTTCTAAATAAATATTATTCTTAAGATTACGAAGTTTGCAAGTAAGACAATAACTTACGTTACATTTAAATTGACTTCTCAGATGCGTTTCATCTTCACTACGTATATATGACTCATACATATTGATATTTCGTTACGCTTTTCACATAATTGAAACTTTCATAGCATCACTCCAAACTATAACTGCACAAACACTTATTCCAGCGTCATACCTTACTGCAATAATAAGTTATTTTTCCTCAATTATTTTCTATTTTATTTTTGTTACTAATTCGACGACACATACATAGTCGTTTATTCCTTTACTGTGTTCATAAACACGCCTATTTAACTATTTGAGTATTTCACGTCTCCTATATTTATATTCCCTTATTTTCTTTCTTTCCTTCTTTAAACTCAATTCAATATTCTTCTCAATTACTCAGAACCCGATTTATTATTATTCTACTATTATTACTCTTTTTTTCAAATATGGCAAATATAATGCTAACATTATTGAAACTTGTGTATTATTGCATTTTTGAAGAAACTCGAAATGGTTTCTTCACAACACTTATGCACCCATAAGATGTTTGTGGATAGTAATAATATTGAAGCTGATAAAGTTCAAAGCTTAATTGTTCGTTCTGTTTAGGATACATCGTTAGGTTCCCAGGTAATAAGCGTCATACTCACTATTTGCAGTTTTTTTAGTATTTTGCTGGCGGAGGGTACTGAAACGCACTTCTCGCTTTATTTGAGACTCTAGTTAATAACAGTATATTTCTGTAATGGCAGGTACACGCCATTTTTACGGGCTTTTTTCTACTAATTCTGTTCACAGTCATGTTTCAGGTAAGTAAGTTTTACCTGAAACGCGGCCGCACTACTTAATCCATGTGGCTACTAACTCGTGTGAAAATATTAATGAGTACCCGTAGTTTTCCCTCAGTAATATCCAAAACAAAATTTTGACAGAGCTGTCCCCACAAATACATTTTCGTTGGACTTTTAACGTTTAGCCTCTACTCATTGTTTTTAATTCTAAAGTTCATACCTGGTAATTGCAAATGTTTAAAAACTACGTTAACTACGACATTCGATCGAATCAACAAATCGTTAACAGATCTATCTCAGGAAAAGAGACTGTTGTATACATTTTAAGGTACCAATGAACGTAATTCGTTTCATAATTCAATCCAGTAATTAAGGATATTTGAAAAACCTATATAAATGGTAACTCGTCAAAATATTACTGCTGACTAGCTAGCTTGATCCCTTGTTGTTTTATGCACTGAAGAGTTTAAACTTCTCAAAATCAAAGACATCATATAATAATATCCACCAGCCACGAACAAGACATCACTCCGACGATATAAATCTTAAGTTCGAACAAAATAATGTATTCATTACAATGAGACATAAAAATGGCAAATTTTAAAGTGAATAGGTTTGAGGGGGCGTAAAATAACTTCTACCATCCGCTTTACTATGACATATTGGTTGTGGTTTTCAGTACTAAAATACGCATAGGAGGGATTGTGGTGGCATCAGTTCTAAACTCCACAATTCTTGAAGCTGAACACACGATAATTGAGAAGATTCACATTCAACATCTAACACTTAAAGAAGATCAGGAGGACTTGACTCGGGAACACTTGGTTGGCATGACATGCCTCAGAAGTGCAGGCGTGCCCACCCAATGAAACGTTCCTTTTCACATTAAAATATATTATTATATTCACAACCCAAAGCTATTCTTCAAAAAAGCTGAAAAACTGATTGCTAACTGTAGAGATAGTACGTATCAGTATGGAAAATGATATGATTTCTAAGTGGGATCTTCAGGATTCGGTAGTCAAATCTTGACAAATCTGCAGTTTTCGGTTCATGTTTGTTATTCCAGTAACAAGGATAGATCCATTTAGTACCGACCTGGACAATAAGCTTACAGGATCAACCCCACTAGGGGGTAGGGGTAAGTGTAACGATTGACAAACAGCCAAAATAAGAACGTAGTCCCTATTTCTAATGCGAAGTAGATATGTTCTAAAGGTTTGAAAAACGAGACAATCAAGTGAAAAATGTCTCAGTACCCTGTGTTAATAAGACAGGCTAAAACGCTGCAACACAAATCCTCTCGCATTTCCTGGATAATGAGGTAATTTAACACTGGTTTACTGTACATTGAGTGATGACTTCTCATACAAATAACTTTTATCTCCTTTTATAATAAAGACCAACCCTCTGTGAAGACGCGCTTGAAACGTCTGAAGGCAAGAATAAAACTTTTCGTGCTAGAAGTTTCGTCTGACACATCGCATCGCGAATCGCTGGAATCATTTCACCAGAACAAGTAAAACCAACTCCTACTGTCAATACATTATAGGCGAGATTATACCACTGAGATATTGCAAAATACGAAAGTTAAAATACATCGCCTCCGAAAACTGGTTTAGTTGTTTGTTCCAACTAAAAAGCTTTGTTTTGGATGCGCGTAAGTTGTTCGTCTTTGTAAACGCGCTGGATTAAACATGTCCGATATATTCATTGAAGCTTACCGTTCGTTCTTTAATGGTAGTGGATAGTTATGGGAAATTCGAATTCGTCTAATAATGATCAAAGCAGTTGGATCACGGTTCCTCCTGTGAGTATTTCTTTTGGTGAATTTATCATATAAACGAGGCTGATCAACTTTGTGTAGTTAGACGTGACCAGATTTATCCACACATGTCCAGACTGTCAGTGGTAGACACTATCAATGGGGAGACGCGATGTTTCACTTTCTACTTCAGTCAGCTTATATTTTTTGTCAGATGTACAGTTATCTCCGTGTTTATATACTACGCATATGTTTTCCTTATATGTACTGCTGCTTGCATTTTCTTCTGGTTCAGTTTGGTCCTCATTATAAATACGACCATAAATCTAGACTGATGCTAAAAAACGTAATACTGTCAGTTCTGGACTTTAATTTCGGAACTTTGCATGATGCGTCTTCTCAGCCCAAGCAATCATAAAGGGAGGAATAAAAGCGAACTTTTATGAAATAATAGGACAATTCGTTTCGAAAGTCGGTATAAGTGATCGGACACTGAGTTTTCGATGTTTTCGTCATTCCGGAGCTAATAGTGCGAAATTTCCTCTACCGTGCTTCACTAAGGGGCATTGTCTCGGAAGTAACACCTTTACATTCCCAAAGATTAATACCACGTTGTCTCTCCTTCCCTAATATTAACGCGTCGGGTCATCTAGTTTTCCCGAAAATCAGCAAACCGGTCATTTATCGCTTGAATGTTTAAGACCTTAACTCTACGGGGCAATCAAATTTTCTACGCACTCGACATAATTCAAGAGTGATTTATACGAGAATTTATTACAGAGTTTTACATAAATAGTTGCGAATGTTATTTACATACAGGCGACAGTTAAACGTCAACATTGTAGCTGAAAAATGATTATATTTAATCATGCTTTAAAAATGTGTGTAATGTGAGATTTATTAGACGTATGAGGCTTAGTCCTGAAATACCGGTGGATACTAACGTTTTCTACTATATCTAGTTCGGTTCAATGCACTTGATGCAATTGAGAACGTAATTGTAGTATACCTCTTATAACTTTAAATTACCCGAGATGTACCCTGAATTTACATCCACCAGAGTTGTGGCAGACTTAAAACGTTTGGTACATAGAATGGCTAAGATATCTAGTCAAACTTCATTTCAATCCCTTCTTTGATCCCAGAAGATTTAATTTTAATATACGCTCAGTACGTTTTAGTAGATAATGGGTTCATGTCCTGTTTTTCATGTTTACCATGTAAATTGCAAGCAGGTAGATGAAATCCAATCGATCTACCAAACTGTAGCTAGTATCTTAGCTAATCTAACTGGCAATACTAAACCACCATTCTTAATATCTTTAGAATTAACCCATGGGTCCCTAGTCTTGGATCTTTCACCTCTTGTTTTAGCTTTCTGTACGTTTCCTTAAGGCTGACTTCTAATATCACTCATTCAAATAGTGGGTACCTGGAGTTGATTAAAATCAGTTGAACTACTTCTCAAAGGTTTGGTCTAAGAGCAGATCACTAGCGGGTGATGTAAGCCATTTTCCCACGAAATATAAGCGTATGTTTAGTCTAAATTGCGCGCACCACGTTTTTCATCTTTTAGTTGTGTTGTTCACAACTTCACACAATCGTTGCTTCTTCGCTACAAATCGTGCTCGTAGCTCGATGGGATGATTTTCCAACCATTTATTGGATACTAAAGTTCATTGTTTTAAAGCTTTTAACTTCAAATTGTTAGAGGTACCGATCTCGTCTGAATTCAAGGTAATTCTGGATAAATATGTCATCCATCCATATATGAGCATCTAACTAGTTTTGTCTAGATCATATAATTAGTTTTCATACTTTGACCTGGTTCTTATGGTTGTTCCCAGATTTTCCTTCAGTGAAGTGTAAACAAATATTTGGTTGCATGGATTATCCACTGAGTTAACTAAATTGTATGCTTTTCATACAGACCACTATCTTTTGCACTGCATGATGTTAACTGAAGAAGGATTAGGTCGCAAAGTGCTATGAGAGGTCAAGTTTTAACATCAGTTAATAAAGTCTCTAGATGCTAGTTAGTGTGTATTTCTTTACCTTGTCTTACGATGAATATTCAATCTACCTACAAGCTCTAGCTCTAAAGAATCAGTCATCGGATTAATATGATTATTAACCACCATTAGGTCTACTTATTTCATTATACCACATCTTTAGTCTTCTTTCTGTCTGATTTTCATTGGGCCGTAAATTATATAACATCCCTAGGAAACAATTTACACTCAAAAGCGTTTATGCAACAAAAATGATTTAGTTAGCATCGTACTGAGTCCCAAAAATTATTCTATCTTGTTCCTTGTAACTTCAATCTAAACCCACGGATTTTTCGCTCAGTCAGAATTATGATAGAGAAAGTGCCTTAGAATACTGATTTTCAAAGTAAACATAAACATATTTTTACTGAGTGTTCTTTTATATTTATTTTTAACTTAAGAATGACGCTTCTGCGCCTATGTTTGAACCATCACTTCGGTCTGTAGTCGAAAGACGACCTATTTTCTCTTCTAAAATTTCATTCAATAATGGTCAATCATCCAATTCTATGCTTCCAGCAGCGATAGCACCGGATTCTTCACAAAGCTTTGATCAGATACGCTACCAACCCTATAATACTAATTATGTTCCCGACGCAGTTCAGCAGATTAAGGGAGCGAAATGGACAAATGATTTTGTGGGTGTTCCAGTAACTGCTGGTGATAAATCATCTGTTGGAAATTCATCATGTCTACCTAACACTCATCAGTCAACAAACTTCTCACCAACTCAACAGCCTGCCAACTTCTTAAACAATTCAGTTGCGCAGATACGAAATAATCCATCACATAATTCACCCCAGATATCTACAGAAGGGCAATTTGTCGCTTTGCATGATTACGTCAAACGTGTAGATGATGATTTGAATATGACCAAAGGACAAATATTTAATATACTCGATAATTCACACTCTGATTGGTGGTATGCGGAATGTGTATCTACTGGTAATCGAGGATATGTACCCAAAAATCATTTAGCAGCTGTTACCAGTTTAGAATCCAATGAGTAAGTAAACTTTTGCCCTTTACGTACTGGTAAGACTTCCATTAGTTGTTGTGACTTTGTTGAAGTTATCTTATGGAGTCTGGTTATCGCCGGTGATATTTGAATAGGAATAAAACCATTTAAATTTCTATTTAGGCACGTTAAAACTATCAGTTAATTATAAGAGTGATTAATTGTTTTTCGTCCGATTGAGTTTATGTGTGTTGCAACGAGCTATTTACTGGATTCTATCTTGTACAAAGTTCCCCATTATGTTAATTTTTTATTTTACCAGTGCTGCGTGAAATCCGTGCTGCCATATTATTAGTATGGGTAATAATGGCTATCACTCATTATTAGACAGACTGTTCATAAAAGACAACTATCCTGTCTAGTATTTGAGAGTTTTAGATTCTCCGTTCGGTATTAACTAGTTCCCATCAATTCCAAGACAAATGTCAGGTGAAGTAAATAAAATAAAGGATTATTTTATTTCAACCAGTTGACCAATTAGTGAGCCATACGCAATGCGAAACTTGACACATGTACATCTGTTCATATCTTCACACTCCATTAGCATACCAAGATGAAGTTGTCAGAACAAGTCCCAGACTCTTAGAGCTTTCTTCCAATCTATTCAGTGGTATAGGAGTAGGTTGGAAGAAAGCTAGGGGCGGCCAGACCAAAACATGGCACAAGTCCATGAAGTCACTGACAAGTGGTCTGAGTCATGTTGGTAGGTGTAGACTACCTGGTTGGGGACCGCGAGATGATAGCAACCGATGGTTAGAGACCCTGAATGACATGGCTCAAAATCGTTTGCAATGGCGCAGGTGCATGCACTCTTTATGTTCTCCCAAATTTTGATCTTATTCCTCCTTGTCTCTTTTTTTTCTCTTCCCAAATTTATTTCACTGTATTATACTCTTTAAATAACATCTCCAAACACTAATCTTCCCGATTACTGCTTATACTCTTATTACCTCTACCATTACGGGATTTGAATCGACCACTGCATCTCTATGCTAATGTGGTGTGGCAACTCGAACCGATGTACGTACGTACGAAGTTCTACGTTGTTACTGACTGACTGACTGAGAGGTATTAATAGTACTGGTAGTAAGAGATTAGGGGTCGAAAATGCGATTCAGGAAAAAAATAGATTAGTGAAATGAAAATTTATAAGGCAGTTTAGAAGCTCAGGATATAAGCAAAGACATAGTGAGTCCATCTGCGCCATGGAGATCGATTTTGAGCCATGTCACCCAAAATGTCTAACGATTGGTTACGGTAATCAGGGGAGCCAGTCAGATTGTTTATACCTATCTCCATGACTCATGGATTTATGCCATATTTTGCTTTGACCGCCCCTATGATTATGGAGGCTAATATTTTAAACACTACATTAGTTAAGCTGATTCCTCTGTGGATATCGCAAGAGGATTTCTATCCTTTCTGTTAAACTGGAACGATCGGCTATTGAGACCAGTCAGATGAGATTGAGTCCAGTTTTTAGATTCTAGCTACTCTCTCAAGTCAATCTAACAACTAAAACCGAACCACTCGCCTTACAGATCTCTAAGTTTAATCCATCAGGCCCTACTGTTTCCTCTCACTTTATATTATCTATGGCTCTTCCTACTTCATTGATAGGTTTTGGTGATGCGATAAGATATAGTTAATTAAGAATGTGTTGTATTAGTGATATTGTGGTGTGGGTTGCTTATAGCCACATAAGTATATAACGGTGGTCAGGCGTAGAATGTATTTCAGTAGAAGATCGATAAGGAAGGAACGGGAACGGAACGCAATTGGTATGAAAATTCATGAACAGTGAAATCTGAGACAATGGACTGATATTCGCAAAAGGAACAGTCAAGTTTGAGACGATGGATTGATATTTTGTAAATTAACTATTTACTATATGGTTCTCAGATTTTAGTGAGATGCTCTGTAATTTCGTGTCAGATACATTCGATTGTCCCCACTCGTGTTCTGTTCACTACAATATGTGCTCGAGAAGATAATGATTGGTTGTTTGCTAAGTCAGACTAGCAGATAGTCTAACAGGTACCAGATGAGTTATATATCCTCTTACCCTTTATTTTATTATTATTATTATTATTGATTGTTGTCGGTTTTTAGTGTGGAAATAAACTTACGTTCTAGTCAGGCCAGTCACGTGTTCTCGATTTGAGTTGTGTTGAAGTCCTGTAGAATAGAAACTGGAATGGAATCTAGTGTAAATATTCGTATAAGGGAAATTAGTGTCTCATTCGTGTAGACGAGAAAAACAGATTGGAAAATGCAAGAAAAGAAAGATAGTGAAAAGAGATATGAACCAATACTACTAGGATAGTTTCAAGATGAAAACAAACTTTTTGAGTCGTCGTATGATCAAGGCTTCAGTAAACCTTAGTGTGGCCCCCTAGGGATTCATACAACACTACGTCACCTGATTTCATATCAATCCTATGACCCGTCTCAGCCAAATATCTCTCAATGAAGGGAGATGCTGATAGAAATGATGGAATTTAACAAGTATTTGTGTGATCAAATTGTTTAAAACTTATTGAGTTTAATATATCACGTATTTCGGGTAAACTCTGTCTTCTCATTTGACTACTTACATTTGTCAAAAGACTTTTTTTATCTAGTCAATATTTTTGTTTTGAAGTTGAAGATGGAAATAATCTCGATTCGATATCAACTGAATAATCGTATGAATTGATATCCCTTTTAATCAATTCTTAAAAGTCATAATTTATTGGGACGTCGCTATTTCATCATTAATGTAGCATATAATGTCATGGTATAATACTTGTATTCTCCATCGCTTGTTGATGGATTCTTCATTGTTGGGAGCTATTTTTACTTATTCTTAATATTTAAACGAGTTATTTACCCCATTATCAGTGAGAAAACCGGATTTGTTTACATTTTTTAGCGATGAATTATCTAAGACCAGTAACATGAAGTGTGTTTATCGTTTCGTTTTCTTTGTGAATGTATATTTGTATCACTGCTTTTTTTAATTCTGTAAATTGTAGATGGTATTTTGGAGAATTGAAACGTATCGAAGCTGAACATTATCTTCAACTTCCGGGAAATGATCACGGCTCTTTTTTGGTTCGAATCAGTGAATCTCAATCCAGTGAATATTCTTTATCAGGTTGGTAAAATTATATGATTGAAAAATAGCCACTAGGGTGAAACAAAAAATTACATTCAGCTTTGTTTTCCTTGTAAATGTATTAGTAGCGAATCAGTTTTCTCTATATTTTAATGTTTTTTGCTAAGGTAACGAAAGTCAAGTTTATTACAAAATATGTTTACTTCTGATGACCATTCTGCCTATGTAAGAGCTAGTAATACTACTACTCAGCGACCCAAACTAAAATAGGTGTGGGATTTTAACGTGTAACCTAATGTCTGAATAGTCAGTACTTCTTTTAGCTAAGTTACATTATTGGTTTGTAAATAAAGTAAGTTTTCAAAATAAATTGTACATGTTCAAAATTTTTTAAATGGACTGGGTTGGAAGGTTTTATTTTGAAAGGAAATTAACAAAAGATGACGAGGTTTATTTTGGCAAATTATCGTAAAGTTCGATTCTAGAGTGTGGGCTTCCATTCTGTAAATCGTTGACACTCAACGAGATTGTACATTCATCAATCTGTAATAATAAGTCATACTTTAGCAAAGATGCACATCAAAAAAGGCGAATGTCTTTATTAACATATCGGTATATTGAAGATGACTTGTTCTTTTAATCATTATATATTACACATTATAGTACTTTCAAGCCTATACAAAACTCCACTAAATTTCTGTTGCCTTAAGTGAAACCGTTGAATCAATTGAGAATTGTTGCACATATGGTGTTTTGTAAGTGAAGTTCTGCAAAATTAGTGAATTTCGAACTTATCAACTGAACCTCTCTTTCATCTTTGGTAGTCTATCACAAGTAAGATTTGAAGAGGTTCATTTTTACCTCAGTTATTCTCGCTACAAATACAGTTTTAAGCATTGGAATTGAAAATTAAGCGTCTTCAACCTTTTAGACGTTCCTTCCTCACCAATTTCAGCATTTGTGTGATTGTACACGATATGTACTGTTATCAAACGGTTTTAAAATAAGCTGTCGCTTTCCACATGTTCACTAAAAGAGATGTAGTGTGTATATACAGCCTCTAAACCCTCTATAAAGTTATTTACCCTCTCTGATTAGCTTGTTGCCTATCAGCCACTTTCAGACGAATGCGTCGTATAAATGAAGATTCTATGCTAGTTTAGCTAGTGCTGTTTTCACTATACTTTTTAAAAGTATTACAGATTACATCTGTTTAGATTTTCTGACCTCTAATAGTTGCTGTTTTCATAAAATAGCCTTCTGCGATAATAAGCGATTAAGAGTAAAGTCCAAAAGGCTGGTGATTTTATTTTATATCTGCAAATGCAACACGATGCCCAAAGATTAAACTCAACAGTCAGGTTTTAATTGGTTGAAGAATGAGTGAATTACAAGCTAATTTCCTGCTATCTCCCATGGCAATTTCGTGTTCATGTTTTGTATATAAGCATATAATTTAATTATATTAAAAAAACTATTCATATGGCTAGTTGTCTTGTCTTTGACTTTTAGTCGTTCGGGAGTCTAATTCATGAATACGGTTTCGTGAGCATCCATCATTCGGTTACATTATACCATTGTGTCCATGTTTCGATCCACCATTCTATTCACCAATCTGAACAGTTGGAATTTCGTCTAATCAAATAACAGAAGTCCTCTATAACAAAAAAATCATTAGCGTTTAATCGTATACTTCAGAAAACCCTTCTGGAAAGTACTTCCTTTGCGGTGTTCCATCCGATCTAAATTATTAATTCTATTGTCCTAATTTCTGATATTAATGCCATCGGTTATCAAGATATTCCAATTTTAATTTGATTTGGACCTTTGTGTAACCTAGTCACCGAACTCATTTTCTTGTAATCAATTCTAGGCTACCCCTTAATATATCAATTAGTAATGGCATTTAACCATTTATACTATTGTAAATGAACCTGGAACCAAATGGTCAAGCATAGAGTAGTTTAATAAATAACTCATTGTACAAAAGTGTAAAAGGGCGTATACTAATGTTTACTGAGGCCTTAAGCCTACGAAAATTCAAACCCCCTTTGTGTATTCAAAAAGTTTGTTCTCACCTTAAACCTACCCTGGTAATATTAGCTTATTATCCAGAGTAATGAGGTTTCAGATTATTTCATTATTATCCTTGTCTCCTCTTACCCTCCATTTCTAGTATAGTTGACCTTTTATATTTTTGTATATAAATGTTCTTAACAAGTATGTATGTGGTCAGATTGTTCGAATAATGTCCGTCTATCGAAATTAAAATTCATGAATCATAACTCATCTGACGGTTATATGTTGTACTGAACTTTCATTATCTCCTTTTACATCAACCAATTTTCCTTGAATATGACCGTCTCTATTGATACAATCTCTTTCCATTTTCTGTAACTTGTTTTTCTTTAGTAGTAATTGTAGTAGTCGTTCACTGTACAATGATAAAATAATCTTATGCATGAATTCTAGTGATTATCCACTATCAAGGAATAGTTGCGAAAAAACATCCATTTTATTTGTTCATCTCATGTATATTGAGATTATCTATTTGTGGAATTACTTTTATTCTTTAATTATTCCTTAATTGTACACTTAGTAAATGTATACTAACTTTTGGGTAGGGGACTTAATTGTCATTTGAAATAGTTTATAAATGTCAACCAGACTTCCATTTTGTTTCTGATTGGTTTATTCAGTATACGTTCTGCATGTTCCGACTATTTGTTTTGTATATGCCGCTTTGTTATGGATGATTCATCTAGTCACTTTTATTTGCATTCACAGCTAAAGTGAAAATCAACTGCCTAAACAATTATTGATGAAAATGGTTTAATTGCTTTTTTTGTTTGTCTTATAGATATTTTGCAGAAATAATACTTTTATAGAAAGGCTTTCATTTAATTATATTATTGTCTTTGTATACTGTTTTTTAGGTGGTTTCTCCTAGTTGAAAATTCCGTACTCTTTATGGATTGTTTTATTTCTGTTGGTTAATTTTCAAATCTATTAATCGTTATGAGCCAACAAAACTAATGATCGGTTATTTTTAGAAATGAGTCTCTAATGTACTTTTTCATTAAGTCGCTATATCATCAGTCTACTTTTCGGACTTATCGTATTTGTTAACAACTTTTCAACTAATATTCACATTTGTAACAATCCTCCATGGAGTTGAAGTTTGATCGTCAAAAAACAAAGCTTATTTATCCATTAATAGATTAGGTGAGATGATTTAACTCCCGACTTGTAATATGTAGTTAGCCATATCTTGATGCTACTGTACCTAGCAGAATAAGAATTTCAGTTTCCCAAACTATTTATGCTTATGTAAATAGTTTGTCCAAAAGAAGAATTTAAAAATTTTCTATCTTCCAAGATTTTGGAGAAAATTGAAACTAAATAACCGAAAGAATAATGAGTATTTCTGTTAGTTTCACGTACATTTTGCAAATTGCTGTTCGGTGCACATTCTAAACTGTTCTTAGCATTAACAGATTGTTAATAGCATGTTAACTATGTTATGATGCTCAGTTGTTTTTTCTATTTTAATCCTATTCTCAAATCGATATTAGAGAGGTCAAGCAAATCATGACAAGTGTATTGTTTTAGTTTTGTGGATTTCTATGCAGAAAATATGTATCTTGGATTGTTTAACTTATCATGGATAGCCTGATAAACAGTTGTGTACGAAATGCGTCATCGGAAATTCGTGGTTAAGAGAGAATTTGCTTTCTACACATCTCTCTTTAGGTATATGAAGACTGTCATTACTTTTTTGTTTATTTGTAATTTACGTGGAAAGCTGGTCTTATTTCATTTTGTTACACTTCTTGTGTGTAATACATTCAACAATATCCACTACAAAGAGATTGGCTAGTAGGTAGATGTTTAAAAGTACGAAAAATTATTAATACAATTGGTCAAAAAACAACAGCATTATACCGCTGTGCTTATGACAACGTAGACAGGTTTTTATCCTTAAAGCAGCTATCGAAAACGGTACAATACCATTATTCAATATAAACATTTGACTTACCACTGTATTTTGTTTTCAGTATAGTTGATAAGTTAAAATACCTTGTCTTTGTTCGTTTATCGTCGTTCAAACCCGGCCTTACGAAAATCAATCGTGTAAATCTAAATGGAAACGATATATATATATATATATATATATATATATATATATCATTTTCATCTTTTATAATTGTGTTTTTTATACCTGATTTATCAGTCACTGAGTCCATAAAATTAAAAAGGTGATTGTGATAACATTTGTATGAAAAAATGTTTTTCCTTGGTGTCTGTGTCACTTTAAATATCTAGAAAAATTGTTTACAAAGTTTTGGCGTATCTTCCCTGCAAATTTTTAACCTTTTTAAGTGTAGTTTTATTTGGACTGAATAAATGGATTTACGAAAATGCATTGATTTTAATCAGTCATGTTCAAAGTGTGTATTTATTCGTTTATTAAGCGTAAACATATTAAATTTTGTAGCATCCGCTTATAATTTATTGACTTTTTGATGTTTACTTTTATTTCAGACAGTTTAACCTCGTTTATTTTGACTAGGTCGTACTCTGTCAATAATATTTATGCCTAGTTATCAGCTACATTATATATGGGATAGTCTTGGATTTAATAACGTGAGCGATATCTGCCAAAGTTTAGAGAAACTCTTTTTTGTGATAAAATACAGATTAGCAGTATTCTGATCTCCATATCTCTTGTCTACTGATATTTAGATTATATAGTATTTAACAAAATGTTTGATTGTATAGTGTTAAGCATAATGGTTAAGACTATGTTATTCACATTTCTGGATGTAATGATCTGAGAAACCAGTAGTTATGTATGTTGTTGCATTTTTGTTATGTCCAGTAAATAATATCCGATAAAAAATTTCTTACTGATCTCCAGGATTCTGATATACTTCTGCATTCATAAGATAAGGTGGGAATCGTCGTTTTTGTACTCAGGAGGCAATCAGCCTAATTCAGCTACCTGGACTGCAAATTAATAATAACTCAACTATATAATCCGGAACCCGTCAATAATCGTGTGTGTAAGAGCGAGCATCAACAGTGTAAGGCTTGAGATATTCAGTTGCTAAATAGTATAAAATCGGGCATAACTCTCATCTGTAATTCATTAGTTAGTAATTGAGTGCTGAAATTATGGAGTAGTGATTATTATCATTATTGCGTTATTTAGTCTTTCAAACATTTCATTCTAGGGTCGTTAAGAGAAACAAAAGCTATTCCATGTGCTTAATCTAATTTTGTGGAGATTTTTTCACAGCATAAAAGGGTTAGTTATAATATTTTTTGTTCAAACTCTGAACTATTTGACTTGTCAATAATAAGTTCGTTAGTCTTTAGATTGCAGATACATTGTGTTGTCTTTGAACATAAAGGTAATATTTATGGTTTCTATAATAGACAAATAATTCTATAACTATAGGTTGTGCGATCGATCGTCCGGGTGATGTATCTTCACACATCTAAATAATTTATTCAAGCCAACAATCAATGGTTGTAAAAAACAATAACTGGTATGTAGAATTAGTCATCTTCTATAAGTGGCATACTTTTGGACAGATTATTTAACACCAAATAAATATGAATAGCTTTCTTTTAAAACATGACTGGCATTTTTTCAGAGTTCTTCATTAATCCATATATACTTGCACCCCAATAGGTTTCTGGATATGTAGATACTAAAACATGCGATATTACAAAATTTAAAGTTTTTCCTGGCTGAAATGTATGTAGGTGAGTAATCTTCATCATGCCCATTTCTGAATCTAATTACATGCACTATTTCATGGTGCATGTGGACTTTGTTTTAGTAGTCCCAAAAAATATCCCCCGTCAAATTCCTTCGGAGCCCAGAAACACCTAGAAGAAGAAGCGGAATCACATGCCGTGGCTTTGATTGGATGTTCACATATGCTGCTACTATATTTGGTATGGCACTAAAAATTTCCAGGAGCCCAATGTCGTATGTTACTATAAATGCCCTCGTTTTTCTGTACATAAACCTAATCATGGAGTAAAGCGTTCTTCCCACACTTCTCGTGTTCAAGTTGCCATGTAGATTAAACCTGGAGTTATTAGAAGCTGGTTGGAAATCGGATCGACGGTTCAATTAGCAGATTTATTGCGTATTTGCTGATGTCGGACTATCTTTTTTGCGAGTTCAATAGACATTTATTTAGTCGAAGATCCATTCACTCACTTTTCTTGGATTTTTTGGCCTTCGTTTGTTATAACACCGCTTGTGAAGTTACAGTGGAACTTGTTTATTAACCCACAAAGAAATTTGATTTAAGCACTGCATTTTCTACGTCGTTGCTGGAGGACAATTTATTCAAAGTTGATAGATGTTTCTTCACCCATCTGTTCCTCCGTGTGCAAAAGTTATCAGTAGTATCGTTTACTACCCTAGTTATTTTTGATCGGAATTCAAAATTAAGTTGAATTAGTAGATCCTCATAATCTTCCGGTCAATTTCAACTATTAATGAATTGATCCCATCTGAATGAAATAAGTGATTTCAACTTACCAGTTGTCACCGAGATTCAGAGCTTCAAATCCCACCGTCATTGTTAGAGCGGACAGAATATTGTATGAATTAAGTTAAATGTGTATATGTATAATTTATAACAGAATTCTTCCATCATAACATTTGAGGTGAGGTGATAGGAGAATTGATGAGGCTGATCGTAGGGTCTCAAATCTACCAGTTTAGAGGTTACCTACGAGGTATAAATTCAATAACCATTTATAATTTAAGTGAATTCTATTCATTTTATTGACCGGTTATTCTGCCTTTTGACACTCGGCCATTGTTGACTTGAATCAGATTTGTGTATAATTATCATTTAATCACATTATTCTTATAAAGTTAGTCGATCGATCTCGCATATCATACCATAAAAAAATAATTTCCTCTGTCTTAATAATTGCATTACTCAACTTCTGTCAAAAATGCGATTTTTATTGTCTGAATGAAGTTCGTTCTAGAAGAATGGATTCATGTAGTCTCAAGTAATACTAAAAGACTTAGCTCTGCATAAACCAACACCATATTCATATCATAAATAAATAATGCAGACGAGTACGATTGATTAATAGGCAGTTATACATGGGCTTGTATGCATTTCCCAAAACATTTTCGTATATACAATTAGTTTTCAATGCCTTTCCAAATAAATATATTTTTTATAATAATGTATTATAAGTTATTCATTGTCATCTTAATGGTCAAATGTAATTCATTTCCAAGTTTTTAATATTTAATAGGGCAAATTAAAGTATGTATTTTTAACTCCTTGTTTTGTATTAATCATTTTTAGTTCTCTGCGTTTCACACTACAAATATAAAATTAGATTTCTCATTAAACGTTACAGTCGCGTTTACTCTTAACTTCTTATTAAAACGCCTTCATTTTAATCAGATACTGATTCAGGGGTTACGGAGTGTTGGGAATTGTTCAATGTTATATTGGGATTTAAGCATCTGACAAACATTTGTTTGCATCTGTAAAATAATTTTGTTCATGGATTTATAGCGAGAGGGTTAGGGGGCAAGTATGGTTAAACAGATTTACGAATGTATAATTATTCATAAAATACACTATAGCCGTTTGGGTTAAACATAAATGTTATTTGTAAAATTTGCTTCATTTTGTATTGTCAGCCTTAATACTGTAATCTAATGTATTATTGAATAAATGGAACAGTTAAAGGTGATTACAGAGGTTATATCCTTCAGAAATAAGTAATATCTTTTCGAACATATAACATCAGGTACTAAGATTTCGGTTATCGAATTCAAAATTATGTATATTGTGTTACCTTTGGCAAAGTTCAATTCTGACGTTGATTTATATTTGATGATATCGTTAAGTGAGTTATAGATATCAATTTAAGCGACATCACATCCATAATTTTCATATGGCCAAATTTATCTGTTATTTGTTTTCTTTAATAAGAAGTGAACTTTTTTTCATGATTCCAGAGGTGAGTTGATATTCTTGAGAAATTATGTATTTACCAAATGGAGTTCATGAATTGAAGAATTTAGCAGTTGAAATTGTTGTGATTCTGCTGTAAATTAATAATATTTTCTTTAATAAGTAGTGATGACGTAGTTATCTCATGAATCTAGGTTTTAAATATCCTATCGAGATTTCACAAATATAAATCTCTGATAAACTGATTGAACCTTCTGTAATAATCGTAATCTAGCGCAAATATACAAAAGGTTGGACTATTAAAACATTATAAAGGCCATATACATTTATATATAATTGCTAAACAATGATAATCAAAATTGCACGCTAGTCAATAGGTCTGGGTTTATAATCGTCATTTCAGAATCCTGTGTTTTTGTTCATCGATTTTTTTGTGTTTCTTTCAAGCTAAATCTGTCATATTTAAATTTTGTTTCCAGTTAAAAACTTACTACTAGTTTTGTTGATTTCCTCTTTCTCTGCTAATATAAATTATGACAACTTGGTCTAATCTACACTCATTCATGATATCCCTGTGTTGATAATGATGGAATAACTGAACTGAGATTTTAACCGTATTCTGTCTTATTAATTCACTTCCTTTTTTGATATAATATTTCATCTTCACAGATGTGTTTGTAAATGTGACAAATTGAATTAACAACCTCTTCTTTCAGCTCTATACTGACTCATCCAGGTTCATGATTGCTTTCACTTTGTTTTAAAGTATTTAAGTAATTTAGTTTGTACAATAAACTTTTCATGACAGACACCAAACTATACTGCCCAATCTGTCAGTAGAATCTCTAACAAAGCCATTACGTAGAAAGCGATCTGTGGACACTAAATGGAAACTAGTGTATGTGTTATTATTTATGTCTGTTTTTGTTGTTACTTTCTTTTTTTGGAAAAAAAGAAACAAGTCTATGTCCGGAATCTTTGTTTTCTAATTATCACATTAGTTGTTTATTCTGTTTATATTAATTGAAAATCTTAGATCTCTGTATTGTTTAATGTGTATCGAGTTATCATCTGTTCTGGATTTCAATCAGACGCGATAAATCCCACTGTTATATAGACCACTTTAAAAAGTTAATAGATAAACTGTATGAAAAGTTATTAACGTTTTCGCTCCATAGTTTTCCTAATATTTTTTCTTCTTTTCAGTACGAGAAGAGAATACTGTTAAGCATTATCGTATTCGATCAAGATATTCACGAACTGATCCTACATTAAAACGTTTCTACATTTCACGACAACTGCCTTTTGTTAATATTCAACAGCTAGTCAATCATTATTTAGAGAATCAATCTGGTTTATGTTGTCGATTGGGAAAACCGTGTATTCGAGTAAGTTAAATCCTCATTAGTAATTAGTATACCTTATGTTGTTGTTTTTACAATTATTTCCTCTAAAAACAAAACTATCCTGTGAATAATTGATCTCAGTACTGTCAATATATAAGGCTGTGGAACGCTAGTTAACTCTTTAATAAAAATATGAATTCGTATACTAGCACAATTATCCTAATAAATAGAGTTTGTTCTAGTGACTATCTTAACATAAAGTCTGTGGTGTAGATTATGATTTACCTTTTCCTGTCTGTACGGGTTCTAATGATTAATGTATCTGACTGTCCTTGTTCAAAATAGTTTCCTCAGCTTCGAATCACACTTCTTTTGAGGGACCAGTGATACTATCTGCTTTCCAAAATGGAAATTGATGAAGTGGCGTTCTCACACTGTCACTCAATGTTTAGAACTCGGGAGATATGACCACCCGTTGCTTGGAATGGTAAGTATCGTTCTGATTGACTAAGTGGCTAGCGTTCTTGTCATGGAATTTCGGAAATGTCTGGGTTTGAATATTTCAGTGTTCGCCGTATATGTTATCTTTGATTATGTGTTCGTATAAGATCTAGTTTTAATTAATATGATATGTAAACGTTCTCTGTGCACATACCAGGCTTCAGTCTCATGTCTAATTACATGAGTGAGTAGAAATAACGTGAGACACTAGACTACTTTTAAGAATTCAAAAAATTTTTAGCACATGGACGAACTCATAGTTACCTGTAAACCTTGACTCCTGTTACGCTTTACAATGAAATAGAAAGCGAATTCCAGCAATTACGACAAAACATCATACATGGATAGAAAGAACATTGATAAGGAAGAAAATATTATTGGGATGATTTAAAATATCCGTGATCCAGAGGAGGTAGTTTAGCTCAAACAAGTTACTCCAACAGGCATTTCACTTCGTGTCTTGTAGGGTCTAAAGAGACCTTTTTAATCAAAGAATTAATGTTATACAAAGTTATGCAATGTAGTTAGTCATGTAATCAAAGTGAATTATCAGTCACTAATATTGTAAAATTATGGTGTACTTCGTTTGCAAATTATCCTGATAGGACATTACTATTATTGCTTATTTCTCACCTTTTTAGTACTTAATTACTTTTTTGCAGTAGCGTAGAGAGGCTGTCTTTAGTCGTTCATTTCTTATTATATGTTTATCGTCTGACATTTGTTCATGCTTAAGTGTGTGCATTGCGTTTTGCTAGCGACCATTGTTGCTTGATAACTGCTAGGTTTGTATTATTTCTCAGTGGTTTAAGCACTCAAATTATTAAAGATACTGTCCATAGATATATTATCTATTTCACGTAATATACGTGGTTCATTAATTAATACGTGCAATTATAATCGACTTCTCATTTGAAAACTGAGTTGGGACGATTAATTGGTTACTGATTCATGGATATCCGTTTAGTTGACCATACTATCATATTTTTTCTTGCACACAGACAAAAGTGGGCACTATTTCCCTGTTTCATCTCATTTTTTGTTGTTGACCTGCAGAAATTTGGTTCATTCTTTTTGGTCATGTGTATAATATATTCCCTTTTGTAGAATAAATCTTATAAAACACTTTTTTCTCTAATGATAATAGATATTGTTTCTTATTGATTTAGACGATGTGATAGTACCATAACATGCACGCATGCCCTAGATTTACACGTATAAACTGCAAAAACTTTTTCTTTGTCTCATATACTTTATTTTGACTGATTTTATTTAAATGTAGTTGCTTCTTTTAACGGTTTACTTCTAACTTCACTTCTGTCATGTATAATCCATCAAATATTTTATTGCACTAGGTGCATTCACTATTTGAATAGCATAAAACAGAAGACTTCTGGTGACCTTATTAACGGAGTTTGACCCTTACAAAAGTGTTTATGCGTTTAAAGGTTGATTTGTTTTCTTTTTGTGTTTGAATAAAACACTAACCAAGGTGTGACATCTTGTATTTACTACTGAATAAAACAGGTTGATTACAAGCGTATAGATTATCGATTTTCTTACACAACGAATAGACTTAATGAGGTTATGAGATATGAAAGGCATGAAAATTAAAAAGTGAACTATTAATTGTTAAGCAAAGATAGATAATGGCTAACAGTGGAATCCAGGACGCGTGTTTTGTTGCTCGGAGATTCTGGAATGCTACTAAGCATAGTAGCAGTATAGCAATCAGTCAATCAGAACCTCTACATGTGACGTCTCACGTCCTTGATGTTTCTGGCTAAAGCTTCAAGTGAACACTGATTGGATGAAATGCTTTTAAGTGTTTCCTGACCCTTGCTTGTCTTTTGCGAAAAATTTTCTTGATCACCCCAACACCAATCTAAAATCAATAATGTCCATACTGATGTTAATTGTTAACTAGTTTATTTCATTGTAGATAATAATTACTCTCTGTGGTTTTATGTGTAATTCCATAGCTTACTGTAAATTTGACTTAATCGAGAGAATTCGGAAATTTCATTTATGATATCTATACATTTTTCTTTCATTTAAAATGACCCACTCATTTATAGTTATATTTTGATTTACTTTAGTTTCACTGAACAATAGGCTTCAAAAGTTAACAACTATCGTATATGATATACAGATTTGTTTATTTAATACAATAAGACAATCAAAATGTTTTTTGATTTATTTATTCATTTAGGGAATAACTTACAGTTAATTGTTTTCTTATTTATTATTTGGTTAGCCAACCCATCCAGAACCTGTGGGTCTTTCACACAAACTCATTGATAAATGGGAAATTCCAAAATCTTCAATTATTTTGAAGGAAAAAATTGGACAAGGTCAGTTCGGTGAAGTATTTAAAGCTGTATGGAATAAAACAACAATTGTTGCTGTGAAAACGCTTAAGCCAAGTGAGTTTTATTTTTTAATGTTTGTTTGGATCATCTAACTTATCCTTTGCTTAGCGTCTTTAAGGTAAAATGATCGTCATATTTAACCTCATGGTTGTATAACTTTCCCCCATAACTCTTGCAAAATTAAAACGAATTTTAATCTATAGGTAAAAATAAATTTCATACTTTGTTAAATATTCATAATTATCTACAAGTTTTCGTACAGAGCATTCTTATCTCTGAGTTCATAGATCTATATCTATAAATGAATGCCATCCCCTTTAACGGTTCTTTATCTTCTGAAAGCGATCTATCTAATTAGCTTCATGGAATTAAGGGAATTAAAAACCGTGCATAATATGTACATTTTGGTAACAAGAGATCATTTTAACACATACATTTTTAATGCTTTATGATCGTTATGGTGAAGTTTCTAGGTATTTCCTTCTAATACTTACAGGATATTTTTCTGTGTTGATCTTATATTTTCTGTTGTGCAAGTTTACAATGTTAACTGATATTATTTGGTTGATTGAGAAAGTGTTTACGGGTTGGTAAACCAATACATAAATTTAGTGGGTATTGTTGTAAAATTTCTGAAAAAATATAAACTTCCTTGATTATAAATTGTGTGTGTGGGGTCGACAACCCCATCCCGTAGGCCGTACAATATCCCTACACCAACGCATACACAAAGCCCCATGGATCTCACCGGATCACATCACTTAGAACCAGATAGATAATATTTACGTAAAAAAATTCAGAAGGATATTGAAAGACGTGAGAACAAAGAGAGAAGCTGACACAGATTCAGGTCACCACCTGGTGGTTACCAAGATGAAACTGAAGCTAAAGAAGCATTGGGAAAATGGACAAACAACAAAACAAAGGTTTGATACAGCATTCTTTCGACATACTGACGAACTTAACGAATTCAAGATAACTCAACAACAGGTTCCAAGCTTTACAAGATCTACTCAGAGAAGAAGAAAACACTGGAGAACAATTGGAAAGTGATCAAAGAAGCACTGACTTCAACATGTTATGAGGTGCTGGGCCTCAAGTAGTATCATCATAAGGGATGGATCTCCATCGAAACCCTGGATAAGATTTAAGAAAGGAAAAACAAGAAGACAGCAATTAACAACAGTCGAACAAGGGCAGAGAAAATCGAGGTACGAGCTAAATACACAGAGGCAAACAAGCAAGTGAATTGGAGCATTAGAGCTGGCAAGCAGAAATACACGGAACAGCTAACAACGACAGCGGAGAAAGCTGCATGAGAAGGAAATATGAGACAGCTATATGAAACAACGAAGAAACTAGAAGGAAAATGTGGTAAACCAGAGAGACCGGTCAAGGACAAAAACCAGGTCGCAACACTACGGATCATTGTTGAACAGTCAATTAAATGAAACTCGTCACTATTTATCAACTTCCCTGACTATGAGAAAGCATTTGACAGCATGGATAAAAGGACATTATGGGACCGTCTTCGATACTATGGTGTACCTGAGAAAATCTTCAGGATCATCCGGAATTCATACGACGGGCTACACTACAAGTCAGGCATGGAGGACAGTCGGCAGACATTCCAAGTAAGGATCGGAGTCAGACGAGGCCGCTCACCATACACGTTCACTTCTGGTGGTCAGCTGGATTGTAAAGACCATCCCGACATCTGAGGGTAAGCACACAATACAATGAACGGCTTTCATGGAAAGCTTCGCGTATCTGAGTAACATCATCGATGAACGTGGAGGATCTGATGCAAACCTAAAGGCGAGGATTGGCAAAGCAAGGACAGCATTTGTACAGTTGAAGGACTTATGTATCTCAAAACAACTGTCGACCAATATCAAAGTCAGAATCTTCAATATGAACGTTAAGACAGTTAGTTCGACTGTACGGAGCTGAAAATTGGAGAACTATTACAACCATCATCAAAAATTTACGAGTATTTATAAACAATTGTCTACGTAAGATAGTGAATGTCTTTTTGCGGGATACCATCAACAATAACCTACTGTAACAGAGAAGAAATCAGTTTTTACATCTGAAGAGGAAATTAAGAAAAGACGTTTGAAGTGGTTAGGACACACATTTTAAAAAATCATCAAACTGAATCACGTGGTAAGTGATAACTTGGAATCCTGAAGGGAAATGTAGAGGAGGAAGGCCAAAGAACACACTGCGTTGATAATTTGAAGCGGACATCAAGAGGATGAGTAGCAACTGGAAAGGATTGCTGATGGGCGGCTTATACTCCTACACGAGGGGTAACAGGCATAAGTAAGTGATTGAGTAGGATAATCAAACTAATAAGTGTGTTGATGGGATTTAACTGAGAACTTAAACTTACTCAATATAAACTTTAGTGAAATCAAAATTGTAGTTTATTTTCACAATGTTCAAACAGGTTAATGTGAGCTATTTCACAGATAACACTTATTGTCACTTAATAGATTTAGAAATTTGATTATGTCAGTCTTTTAGTTTACTCGTATGAATAAACTATTTTGAGCTAGAAGGTGATAAAATCCATCTTTAGCTAGTTTAATCTTAAAATAATTGATTTACAACGATAGTGGATTGGTCTACACAGTTGTCGGGTAAAATTTATTAGTAGCTGTTTAATAAAAGTAATATTTGTCTCTTTGATATTATTAATCATAGTGTTTGAATTGGCAGTGGTACGTATTCGTTAGTCGTTGATGGTATTTTTTTAATTAATCATCACTAAAATACCGTTTTATACAAGCTGAATGAAAAAGTGTCCTTGCGTAAAACAATGGTATGGGGACAAGTTTTAATGATTCTTGAAATAATAGCGACCGATCTTAGCCCCTTGTTAGCCAATCAGAAACACACTGTAGGTAATTAGTTTACGAGGAAAAATAATATTAATAAAATTTTACATAACCAATAAATCTTTTGATCTCTTCTAAAACTTTTCTTGCCTGCAAGTCAATAAAGTAACATTTAAATTCATCCATTATATGGCCAAAGAACATCCATCTCCTCGAGCTCTTTTAAAGAGTCCTCATATCGTCCCTGATTATCAGAGTTAATGGTCTTCTGCTCGTTTTACGTGATATGAGATGAGCGTTATTCATTTTTGAATTTCGCATAGAAATTTAAAAGTCTGCTTGATTCTGATTAACTTTTCATTATACCATACTTTTACCGTGTTCCCTTCTTAACTTTCGGTGTTCATGATCGAAGCTGATTATCATTTCTTTCATCATCATAACCTTTTTTCTTATATAATACATTTAATCATGTCGGTCAGTGGATTTTACTACCTAGTTGTAATGAGACACTAAATTTCAGGATATCAAGCCTTATATGTATGTGTATAACCTATATTTGTACTTTATACACTGTAAATAAGATGACTCACTATATACATTATCCTTCTTATATTTACATGAATATTAATAGCTAATGAAAGTGTTTCCGTCTTTATTAGTTTCTCTTTTTTTTTCATTTAAAATCAATTTATTGTTGACCAAAATACGTTACAATTAATTCAAACAGACTGAAATTTAATTATCACACTACAAAGTTTAATTATTCTCATTTCTATAAACAAAGTTTCCATATTGTCTTATTTCGATTTGTACACTACTGATTAGCGAATAACTATCACTAAACAAGTTATTAATGATCCTATTCCAAATAGTTTTATTGATCACTTAAAGAATGGGTAAACATTGAACGTTTACTGTAAAGTATCTTAACACAGAACTCGATAAGGATTGACGAAGCAAAAATATTTTCGAGAATACAACTAGCTGTCTAATAAATTTAAGACTTCGTGTTTTATATTAGCAGAATGTTCAGAGAATATTCAAATGAACGTTTTTCGACATACATTTATAAAAAATACAGAGCGATAAGCTTATAATACTGCGGAGAATTTAAGTAAATTTTTCACAGTTTCCCAATAAATTGACAGAGCTTAAACAAAACTCAACAGTTCGTTTATAATCAATAAGGTTTAAGTCATTTCTAGTTACAATTTTTGTAAACTGTTGTCTAGTCATACCAAATCTGAGGTTCTAATTACATTTATAACAGGCATATCCAAATTATATATAATCTGCAGATTGAGTATCCAGATCAGTAATTTATACCGTTTCTTATAGGAAATCCACGTTCACTATATCCGGGTGACCACAGGGAAATTAGTCTGATATGTAAATTGAATTTAGGTAGATTATTACCATTCTCAAATTATAAAATGAAGGGAATTATACGAAATAAATAAAGTATATGATCATTTATCCCATTCCAACTCGAACTGAAAGTAGTTTTTATTCTTATTTGATTGACAACATATGGAGATTTATAGCCTCTGGAGTTGTCAACACTGAAATAACCAGTTTCTTCATAAGTGAAGGAAACAGCACTTTATGAGTGCTATCCGACCATCTTCTATATCATTTGGTTCTTCTGAGGTCTTGAATTATGTTTCACAACTGAAATGATCACAGTTAAATTAGTTGAGCACATCGATAGTTCCATTTATTCCAAATATTCAAATCATCTTCACTTGGATGACGAGTGAAGAAACACTGTTACTCATTTGACTTCCATTATCTCGAATTTGTATACACGATCATCAGTAATGCATTATTAGGTTGCTTCAATTAGTCTCACATAATACTGAAATGTTTTTCAGCCAAAATTGTCAACTTACTGAACACCCTTTTTCTAAAAAATTTTTTCCATCCGACTAAAAGCAGTGTGTTTACACAGCCTACTTGTTTTGCTAATTGAATTACTATACAGATACTGTGACCATTTCATAACTAACGTAAGAGGTCATAGTTTTCATTTGTTTTATACAAACTGATTTGAACTGTCTAATTTGAATTTTATGTTAGCTTGTGTAACTTCAATGTGTTTAGAATAACGAATCTCTAATTTGATTGGTTAAAAGGAATATTTAATAAATATATTGTTTATTGATTTTCATTGAATATTAGATATTCACTAACTTGTTCCTATCT